AATCAGCTTCTATAGGGTGGCTTTGTTTTTGTATTTTAGGGAAGGGTCTACAGGGTGTTCAGGGGCTCACTACTAGATCCGACTTGTAGTGATCTGCCTGTTCACAGCCTCCCAAGAGCTGGGATTACAGGTGTGTGCCACCACGTCCAGTCTCAATCACTGTTTCAGCGTGCCCTGGGGGCAGGGCCAGTATGGCAGGCCAGGGGATGGAACCCCTAGCCAAGCAGACGCTTTAATCCACTGAGCTGTTTGGCTGGCCCTGGCTTTGTTTTTGAGTGAAGGGCTGCGGTGAGCCTTCAGGAGCCAAGCACAGGCTTGAGGTAGCCTTTTGCCTCCCTTGCCATTTTATCCCTGTCCCCTCTTCTTCAGTGCCACCTCACTGCCTGATGCTCAGGGACACTGTCACCACTTCTAGCCATGACCACCACCTCTGGTCACACCTTCACTTGTTTTTTTTTTTTTTTTTTTTGCTGCTGTCTGTCCTCTCTCCTTTCTGCTTTTCCTCTTTCACCTATGTCTTTGGGCTCTTGGTTTAGTGAGGTCTCTTTGCTGAGACTGTTAAAACAAAATGCCATCCACTTGATGGCTTATAAACAATAGAAAGTATTTCCCATGGTTCTGGACATTGAGAAGTCCAAGATCAAAGTGTTGGCGGAGTTGGTGGACTGGTGAAGGCTGCCTCTGGGCTCATGCCAGCCATGTTCTAGCTGTCTTCCCAGGGTGGTTGGGAAGAACTGTAGAGTATTCAGCCCCTTCCAAGGGCCTCATCCCACTCCCAAGGGCTCACTTTCAATGCCATCCCTTTAGGGGCCGGGGCTTCACACAGCACTCTTTGGTGGGGAAGACATTCAGAACACAGTGACCATCCGATTAGAGCTGTCTCTTTTGTTTGTTCTCAGTGGGTCACAGATGAGTTTCAGGTGTTCACGGATCCTTTGGGGACATTTTTTTCCTACTCAGAACAGAACAAGCTGTTACGGTGTTGAGGTTGGTTCTGAGCTCCAGGGAGCACCGTGCTGAGGGAGCCAGCAGGCCCTGGATTCTGCCCATCCCCCATGCAGAGGAAGCTGCCTCAGTCCCCTGTGCAAATGCAGACACAGAGCCACAGCAGCCACAGAGGAGACTAGGATGGGCATCACTCAGAAGCATCTCGTCTTTCTCATGTCCCTTCTTCCCTTGTGTTTGTCACCATGGACAGGACTCTCCTTCAGCAACTCCAGAAGCTTCAGACTCTGGTGATGGGCAAGGTTTCCAGGACCTGCAAGCTGGCTGGCACACAGACTGGCACCTGCCTCATGGTGAGCTTCCCCTGGGGACGGCGCAGGAACCACCTCTGCCCTGTCCCCTGCCTCCCGGCTTTCCCTCATTGCTAAGGCCAAGTGCAGTGCAGCCGGAGAGACCATGTAGCCTGCTCTAGGGCTGGTCCCTTGCATGTCATTACCATGAGGTGACCAGAGGGTGTGTCTGCCTCCTTTGCAGGGCTGTGGGCTTGCTCTGTGGTGACTGCTTTGAACCCACAGCCCATGTGTTCTCTCCCCCTTCTCCAGGTCGTTGTGCTGTGCTTTGCTGTTGCCTTTGGCAGCTTATTTCAGGGCTATGGGCCCTACCCTTCTGCCACCAAGATGGCGCTACCCAGCCAGCATTCTCTGCCAGAGCCTTATGCAGCCTCCATTGGTAAGACTCACGCAGCTAGCCACCTGGGAAGGGTCTTTTTTTTTTTTTTTCTTTTTCTTTCTGGTTTTCCTAGCTTTCTGAAGGGAATCTTACATGAAAGTCCAGTGTTTTAGAGATTAGTTTCTCCACTTGCCCTGGCCGTGCTGAGGCAGCACTCCCATTCTCCAGAGTTCTGCAGAACACAGTTCACAGGCTGATGCTGCAAACCTTGTTCTCTGACAAGTGTTGACATCCCCTCTGGAGTTCTGATGAGGGGGAAGGATGTGGATTTCAGGAAGTGGGCAGGACGTGGGGAATGCTAAGCCTTCTGTGACATTTTAAGGGTGCTCCAGGGTTTCTCCCTCCGCTGTGTGGAATTGCATGCTGCCACACTAAAAGGCTGCAAAATGAAATTAAAGAATAAGTCTGCTCACAAAACAGGATAGTTGACATGTAGAGAATTTAGAGGCTCTGGCGTTACTTAAGAAGTGGTGCAGATTCTCACCTAGACTAATGATCTAAGCAAGCAGGAAATAAACAAGTGACAAGTAGGGGCTGCATGCACAGACAGGCATTTGTGTGCATGAAGCCAAGAATGGACCTGGGAGGTGCAGAACAGGGACGATTTTGCCAACCTGAAGAGCCACCTGTGTCCCTGCCTGGTGAAAAACAAGACCACTAGCCTTCCATTCAGATCATTTCAGTGGCCTGTTGGGAAGCTCTTTCCCTAAGGGAATACATCTCTAAATGTTGGAAGCTAATGGGAACATAGTTTCTATGTCGAGGAAAAATTGCCGCGGAGCCATCTAGGTATGTGACTGTCCTATAAAACAGAAGAGATTGTCTCTCTCCTCTGATTTATGGCTCAGCTTTGCCTCATCCAATTCTAAATGAAAATGCGCATGTACCTTTTCTCCCCCACACAAGGCCTCCTCACTGGGGATGCCTCTCATAGTTGGTTCTGGGCATGTCCAAAGATTCCACTCCCATTTTGCACACATTGTGTCCTCTGGATGATTATGGGTGGGTAAGGAGGGGAGTTTTGTTTTCAAAGCAGTGGGGGTGGTAGTTGGCTTCATGTTTATTTGCTTTTCCCTTGTTCTTCCAGCACTGTATAATTGATGTAATTTTTCAATGCACAAACTCTGAAGTCTTTACAGAAAGCGAGATCCAGTTGGCACTGTCTTTCCTGGCCAACAAGAACATGCCGGTTGTTATTTACCGCCAGCCTTGGGCATTTTAGTACGGGATGTACGTACAAGAATACATGTAATTAGGGCTCCTGCGGCCTTTGGCTCACACCCTGTTGCTTTGCTCTGTCCACAGTGAGATCCAGGAACCTGCTGATCTATGAAGAACATTCTCCACTGGAGGAACCGTCCGGCCCAGCCTCCACCGGGGAGCTCGGGGGCTGGGAGCCGGGCTCCTCCTTGCTCCGGGCATCGGGGCTGGAGTCGCTGCCTGATGTGGACCTTCAGCATTTCCTTATCTCCAACGAGACTGGCCTGGAGAAGGCAGTGCTGCTGGAGTTGCAGCAGCACCTGTGAGTCCTGCACACGAGCCCTGGGGTGAGGGTGAAGGGTGTGAGTCAGCATTGGGCGTGGGCTGTGGAGTCCACCCGCCCAGGGCCACCTGCGCTTCCTCCTCTCACAGTACCCATTTCCAGGGCCTGGCACTGGAGAGAATGCGCCACTGGCCCACAGCTGCCCAAGCAGGGAACAGGCGGCCCAGCAGCAGGTGGGAGCTTGCTGTGGTGTCCCTGAGGCAAGGGGAAGGGTCTTGAACTCCAGACCTCCTCCCTGTCTCTGTCATCACTCCAAGGCCAGGAAGTGCACACTCAGCCGGGGCAGCAGCGTGGTGCTCGCTGTAAGGAGGCACTTTCTCTGACATCCTCCCAACCACAGAGGGAAAGGATGCGCGCTGCCAGCATGCTTCATGACTTGTATATCTGCTCGCGTGTATCAGCAGTAACTACAGGTGGAGCATCCTTTATCTGGAATGCTTGGGACCAGACATGTTTGCATTTTGAAGTTTTTTTCAAAGATTGGACCATTTGTAACGTAACAACATGTCTTAGTCTAAGCACGGAATTGATCTGTTTCATATACGCATGCACACACAGCCTGATGACATCATATGGGTTGGACTGCACCTGTCCTGTATCTGTGCCCTGCCACATGAGCCAGGTGTGGAGTTTTCCTCTTGTGGCCCCACAGTGGCACGGAAAGAGCTCTGGACCTTGGAGCATTTCAGAGTTAGGGTTTTCAGATGCAGTCTGCCCAACCCGTGTCCACTTAGATGTTTATACTGCCCGTGTTTGAGAAGCACTAGGGGTGCCTCTGCAGAATCTTTTCCCAGCCTGAAAGTAAACTGGGTTTGGCTCCAGTTCTCCAGGAGTGGTGTTTCTTAGGTAATTATGGGGAAGGAATCTTCTTGTAAATATAAAGGCGGACAGGACCACGGGGGCTTGTTACTGTGAGAGGAGGCTGCTGAGTGTGTACCCAGGTTTCTGGTGATGTGGGTGTGGTTGGTGGTTTTCCTCAGGCTTCCTAGAAGTGAGGATGTTCCACAACAGTAGAAGGCTCGCACTCCAGATTCTTCAGTTTTCTTGCAGGAAGAATTTATATGTTTTTGTGTTTACAGTTAGCATTGACTAATGCTTACTATTTGAAGCATTTACACATGTGCTATCACATAAATCATGGGAACTACCCAGGAAACAAGGCTTTACTTTTATTCCCATTCTGGAGAAAATCTGGGGCCACCACTAGATACCTCTAAAACCTTAGCTGCTGATTACTTGTCTGAGAACACAAGTGTCCCTCTTTGCCCCATTGGAGAGCCCCAAATCTAGGTGACCTGGAGGCTTTCAGGTTGTTACACAATTTGATATGATGTATTTATTTTCCAACTAATTAATTCATTTGTAAAGAATACTTATCTGTGGGGCCAGGAGATAGCTCAGTGGAAGAAGTGCTTGCCTGGCAAGTGCAAGATCCTGAGTTCAATCCCTGGTACCACCACCAAACAAACAAATAAACAACACCAAAATAAAATACTTACCTAGATTATTAGCTCTTCTGGAATAGGGATCAGCCGCATCTTTTTATTTTTAGATTTCCAAAATTTAGCCTAGCCTAAGCACCTGTAGTTGATTGGAAAAAAAAAAAAAAAAAAATTCCAAAATTTAGCCTAGCCTAAGCACCTGTAGTTGATTGGAAAAAAAAAA